GCTTTTTCTTAAGCTGTTTCTTGTATTTATAGTTAAATCGTAACATGAAGGCAGCAAATAGAAACAGCACTGCAGAAAAGTAAAAAAAAAAAAAAAAGCCAAAGAACATCGTTTTTTTAACAGAAAAATTTACATATAATCTCAGCCTGGTTTAATTTGTTTTTTTTTTTTTTAAACAAGAAAGAGAATTAAGATTGTATTTGTAGCTTTACATGGCCCACCCCAAAATGCTTGCTGCCGATGGTAGAAGTTGTGTGCTTTGACACAGAACCATGACAGTGCTACCAAATTCTGTAGGACGCATCCCACAACCATGGAAAGGCTTCACAGTTGTGATTAATCAAAGCCCGGACAGGATGTGCATTGTCCTTTTGGTGAGACCCACATTGTCCGTGCCACATAGATAGAAAAAGATCCTGTGGGGGTGTGATTTCAATCCCTGCCAATGTTTTACGCCGAATGAGATTAAAGATTTATTACTAGCATGTTCTCTTTCTCTCACTCTAGGAAAATTATATAATTCTTCAAGATCTCTCTTTGTCCTGCAAGTACAAGGTGACAGTCCAGCCAATACGGCCAAAAGGTCTCTCAAAGGCAGAAACCATCTTCTTTACTACTCCACCCTGCTCCAGTCTGAAAGGAAAAAGTCACAAGCATTTCAGCTGTCCTGGAGACACAGGTATGTTCAGGCCTGCTGAACCTGCACATCCGAGTCTAAGCAGCCAGCATCGCTCTGATACACATTTCCAAGGTGTATTTCACAAGACCCCCCCAAGCCCCAAAGCACTCCTTTTTCTACGTTCTACTACAGGGATAATAATCAAAACACCTGGTTAATGTTCAAATTAAAAATTTTAACGCAGTGGGACACAGTGCTCTTATCGTTTCTCTAAAGCACACCCTGCTTTGGGACACTTGTGATTCTCGCCACATTCTGAAGCAGTCCAGAAGTTCTCTTTCATGAGGAGTGATCAAAACTTCAGGGAATCCCTCTGCGGATTGCCGAGCAACCGAAAGGCAGGTTCACACAAGCATTCTGTGACACATCCAATCCTCCGTATTCCTGGGTCTGGGGCTTTGCTACTTCTTCTTCTTCCAGAAAGCCAAACGATCAGGAAAGGAAAGCGCTTTGAATCCCTGCAGGACATCGAGGCAGCCGGGATGGCGCATTTAAGACCCTTGTGAAGGACGACTTCTGGAACTGCTTCAGAAAATGTCAGGAATGATGGGATAAGTGCGTCCCAAGTGAGGAGGTCATATGTATGGCTCAGGATCTTTTGCCATAATATGTTTTTTAAAAAATCTAAGTATTCACTGTCTTTTTGGTCATATCTCACAGAGGCTCAAATTGTAGGGAACAGATGAGGACTGTGTGTATTATTTTATAATCTCAACAGATTATAATCTCAACAGATTATAATCTCAATCTTGGAGCGATGTCCTTTATTGGCAGTTTTAACCCACTGGAGATGAGGGCCAGTGGTTACGCACTGATTGCAGTTGGCATACTTCAAAGTCAGTTATTTCATTCCTATTCACGCCTTTGCAGTGGGAAAATCCACACATCGACCCCAAATCAAGTCTTCACACCTTCCAACCTTTTCTCCTCCCAGAGATTCCACCACACACTGCAGCAAACTCTCTGGGACTCCATATGTGGAATCCCTGGATCCTTCCATCTGTCCTCTGAAAGCTCCAAGATCCACCCTTCTCACTGTAGTCATTGCTGTTGCTAAAAAAAAAAAAAAATTGGCTTAGTCTTGCCAGAGATGAAATCTCTCCTGTTTCTATTCCCAAAACAGAGTTCTAAAAATAATCTCCAAAGGATAAGTGCTGAGCACAAAACTGAAGTAGTGAGACTTCTCCTTAACCTCTCCCCCTGTGTGAACGGCGTAACACCCAAAGCCCGTGTCTAAAAGTGAGGTCAGATTACTCTCATTTAAATGGCAGCCATGAGGTCTAAACATCAAGGACAAGGACTTGGGTTCGATCCCTGGTACGGCATGCTGTGCCACCCAGGCGCGCTGTGCCGACCACAAAGCCCGGGAGTGGTGGTAACACTTGTAATCCCAGCACTGAGGAGGCTGAGGCAGGAGAATCACTATGCGTCTGAGCTGCATAGTGAGGCCCTCTACCAAACACATAAATAAATAAAATGCAGAAAACAATTTAAAAAAACGGGCAGCCACAAATCCCCATAGTGAGTGGATGGACGCTCTCTCCAGGAAGCTGACCCTGCTTTCTGTTTTTCTGTTACCACAGGTCACGTCCTCTCCAAAGTGCTCCCCAAGCCGGAGAACCTTTCTGCTGCGTTCGTCATCCAAGATGTGAACATCACCGGCCACTTTTCTTGGAAGATGACCAAAGCCAATCTCTATCAGCCCATGACTGGGTTTCAAGTGACTTGGGCTGAAGTCACCACCGAAAGCAGACAGAACAGTTTACCCAACAGCATCATCTCCCAGTCCCAGATTCTGCCCTCAGTACGTTGAGCTTTATTCCTCGGTTCCTGTCCTTGGAATCCTTAGCCCACTTTCATGGGTGGGCCAACAGGCTGGGCTGTGTCTGTCTTGATGTGTGCTGTGTGGGTTGAGTCACATTGCTGTGTTCTCTTTTCTTCTGAGCAGGTCATTTTGTAAGCACTAATACACTGCAAATATTACTGTGACTCTAAGGAGTTGGGAGGGAGTGGGCCGTCACCTGGTTATATTGTAATTAGTGAATCCTACCGCATAGACCTTACCACATCAGCCTTGTATGCAAGGGATTTGTTTTTTCTTCTGTCTTTCTTAACCCCATGTCCTTCTGCTCCAAGTTGCCCTGCCCTGTTTGAAGTGTTAAATTGGGGAGACATAGCTCAAAAGAGCTTTTGATTTGTCTTTATTTTGCCCTTCAAATTTGGCTACAGCCCACATAAGTTGGCCAGTCTTCCAAGCCACTTAATTCCCTGGCTTGAAAAAAATAAAATCATGTGTGGGCTTTTACCCATCCTGAAAAACTTCTTAGAATATCCATCTCTTGCTCAAAAATCCAGAAATAAGAGAGAGAAAAAAATCCTTCCATCCTGGAAGGAAATGTTCCATGGAATAAGCAACTATTTATTTTATGAATGTGCAAGGTTTTATTGAGTTATAAGGAGAATGTGTTGGCATAAAAATAAGCATTTTCAGTTACGAACCTTGACAGATAGATTGTGTTTTAAGGAAAACAGTTGCTCATTCACTGAAATTTGGACAATTAAGAATTCACATCACAAGATGTGGAGCTGAGGATGGTTCGCCATGGGAAAATCTCATGGTAGGGCATAAAATTAAATAAATAAAGGATGAAATGCCAGCGGTGAGAACTGGCTCCGTGGCCGTCTTTAAGTCTGCCAAACACCACAGTCTGCCAAGCTCTGAGCCGAGGTGCTGAGGGGCCGTATGGTGGGCACAGCCAAGAAATCGGTGGAAATTAATGTGGCAAATCACGCAGTGGTCCCTGCAAGGCCCCTAACAAGTATCCCATCTCCTGTCGGTCTTCAGGATCACCATGTGCTCACCGTGCCCAACCTGAGGCCGGCCACCCTGTACCGCCTGGAAGTCCAGGTGCTGACCACAGGTGGGGAGGGCCCGGCCACCATCAGGACGTTCCGGACCCCCGCCCTCCCGCCCTCGGCCGCGCATCGTGAGTAGCACCTCGGGGGATCATGGTGTGGGGCAGGCCTGGTGTGTGGGGAGGGGAGTGTTTCCCACACTTGCACTATGTCACTACCTTGCTCAACCTGTCTGCTTGCTGCCAGCTCGGTCCCTTTTGCTCCCTTACTCCCCATCCACCTGTTTCCTTCTTTCCTTCCGTCCCTTTTCCTGGCTTCCTTCCTCCTTTCCCTCTTCCTTCCCTTCCTCCTTTCTTCCTCCTTCCCTCCTTTCCTGCCTTTCTTCCTTCTTCCTTCCGTCCCCCTTCTCCCTCCTTCCCTTCCCTCCTTCCTTCTTCTCTTATCCCCTCCGTTATTCTCCTGTTCCTTCCTCCCTGCTTCATTTTGCCCTTCTTTCGCCTTCCCTTCCCTTTTGTTTCTTGCGTTCATTTTCTTCACAGTAGGTGCTTCACCTTTACCTTTTACAAACATGAATGTGGGGAAAATCTAGAGACTCATACCAGTTTGAATTTTCAAAGACTTAAATATGACACTATCTGAAATGATAAATACTATTGTTTATTTTCTTATTATACAGATTTTATCGTATTG